GTTCTTCTATGAGAAACTGATCCCATTTAGGTGAAGAAAACCCGGTAAATTCCACGCAGTGATTCCATTTAGGTGTTAGATACGTGAAGAAAACCTGGCAAATTCTACGCCGCCACCCTATTGCTCCGAAGCGAACCCACGACCATTCATTTACCAGTGTTCAGTGGTTTCATCCACTGGCAAGCAACCAATTATCTATGATATGATATACAGTGTTTTAAAGGAAAATATAACCTGTTAATTTAAATACTATATATAGAAATTTTCATCTCATTTTAACAGTGGGCTGAGTTTAGATAACATTAAAGAACATTACGTTAAGGTAAAACATACTTTACAATATGGAAAAATATAAATAAATATGTTTTAAAAATTGATAAAACAAATGAAAACAACAGGTTTTAAAATATAAACCAAAATAATAAAAATATATAACTATTTATTCATTAGATTTTTATTTAATTTATAGATTTATCCTAAGAAATAATAGAGTAGTCAATAAAAACAAATTAAATATTTAACATATGTATAAGTATATGTTATATGAAAATAAAATTTTTAACGCACGAAATTTCTTAGTAATAGAAAAATTCAATTAAAACTAAGTAAATATGGATTAGATAACAACGTAAATTACAATAAACACATTATTTGGATATAGAGATGAGATTATGCGAATGTTGAGAATTTATAAATATTGATTACATCGATGTAAAATATAATAATCGTTCCAGGCGAGGAAAGCTCACAGTAAATAATGTATTTAAATAAACACAGTTCGCCTTTATATAATATATCTAATGAAATTTTCACACGTCATACTAGAGTGCACTTTCATTAAAAGGAGATAGAAAATAACGTAAATTCTATACCTTGATGCTTTATATTAATACTTAGAATGTGAATGGTGCTCATTTTTATGTTTTAACATTTAAAAAATATTCATACTGTTCTAATAAAATACAGTTTGAAGATTTAAATTCAATTATGCTTTGTTTAACAAAGTAGCTTCCATTTAAAATAATAATTTAACGTAATTTCGTTAATTATTTTTACTTAGGTCTTAAGACATTAAAATTATTACATGGTATTACAAAGTTGATAATTCTGTATTTTTACTTCTATTAATTTTAGTTTATTTATTTATTTTTTTTTGTTAATATAAATTAAATCATTACACTGCTATGATTTTATTATATCTTAAACTAAATAAATAAATAATTATTTTAACGTTTATTGCTTAATTTTATTAGCTTTACAATACAATTATATTAATTTGTATGGCTAATAAAATAAAGTACTATGTAATTTCCAGAAATTTTTGTCATTTGAATTAGAAAATAAGTCCATAAAATGAAAGGATAGATTATCTCAAACACTTAAATATCTCAGATTTTATAGTATTTATATGTTATATAAAAGCCATGTTAGAGAAGTCTATCAAGTACGTGTCATAATACCGTGTAAGATCGCATTAGAGAAGTGTGTGCATGTGCATCTTAATATCTCGATGTTTACGAATTGTGCCAACTAAATGGCTAAATATTTTGTTATTAAGATAAATATATATCGTCATAACGTTATGGAACTGTCCATAAATTACAGATAAGAGTGGGTGGATATTTAGATAATAGTTATGATGCGTTACAAGGGATGGGGGTATTTACAAATAAGTTACGATCTCAACCCTTGGGTAATAGAACGATTCATTTTTGTTTCTGAAATATTACAATAGCAAACCGTACTGTCTTTGTACGTTATACAGTCGACCCCCCATAACACTGTTGATTATTCCGTTTTATATGAATTCCATGTTGTAAGAGTCACTTAGATTTTACAAATACGCGTGCCGGGCTGTGAACGGCTTACGTATTTGTAAAATCTAAGTGACTCATACAACATGGATTTCATATAAAACGGAATAATCAACAGTGTTATAGGGGGTCGACTGTACATGTGATTTATAAAATAATGTAACGCTCGATACCCCGTGTTGTGTTTTATTCCTTTAGTACGATAGATCGAGGATACGAGTTACCTAATTTTGGGGATGATTATATGCGACGGCATCATAGAGCGTTAAGGGAAATGATACTTGAAAAGTATAAATACAGCTACGTACAGTAATTTATGGACAATCCTTATATTAGAGAAGTTTAATATGCTCATGTAAACTTCTCGATGCTTACAAATATTGGAATTTAAAGTATTTAAATATTTTTCCTTCGTCTTGTCTTCCATTGCATACATTATTGTATCACACGTTAAATATTATTTCAAAGAATTTACAATTATAAAAGTATATAATTATAAAGTAAGCATTATGAGAGAAGTTTAAAAAAGTTTAGNCTGTTGATTATTCCGTTTTATATGAATTCCATGTTGTAAGAGTCACTTAGATTTTACAAATACGCGTGCCGGGCTGTGAACGGCTTACGTATTTGTAAAATCTAAGTGACTCATACAACATGGATTTCATATAAAACGGAATAATCAACAGTGTTATAGGGGGTCGACTGTACATGTGATTTATAAAATAATGTAACGCTCGATACCCCGTGTTGTGTTTTATTCCTTTAGTACGATAGATCGAGGATACGAGTTACCTAATTTTGGGGATGATTATATGCGACGGCATCATAGAGCGTTAAGGGAAATGATACTTGAAAAGTATAAATACAGCTACGTACAGTAATTTATGGACAATCCTTATATTAGAGAAGTTTAATATGCTCATGTAAACTTCTCGATGCTTACAAATATTGGAATTTAAAGTATTTAAATATTTTTCCTTCGTCTTGTCTTCCATTGCATACATTATTGTATCACACGTTAAATATTATTTCAAAGAATTTACAATTATAAAAGTATAAAACTGGAAAAAATTTATGCATAAAAATTTCAAATATTATTAAAATTTTTTTGTAGTAATAAAAACGGCAATAACATAAAAAAAAACATTTTAATAATTTTACAAGAATAGATTAAAATTAAATTTCATGCGATTACCATTAAAAAAACATTTTAATGTAATTTCTCTTACATTCCACTTATTTTATGTAAAGAAATTATCATTAAACTTAAACATTACAATTTAAATAAGTTTAACAATTTTTATAATTATAAATACAGAAAAATTTAAAAAAAAGTTTTTTTCTATTGATTAAACTATTATAGTAAGAAAATAAGATTAAATTACCGTTACTTATAAAACGGATTATACTATTGGTTTGTTTACTTACTTAGAAGTAGCCTTAAGATATGACGTCACGTTTCTTAAAACGTATGATATCATATACAATTAAGTAATGACGCAAACGTTATTAATTAAATTAAAAATTAACAATAATTAAATAATTTCTTACCTTAAATTAAATAATTTCCAAGAGACGTCTCCGTTGCGAAGAAGAAAAGTTTTAAATGCTTCTCATCGTTTATATCGGAACGTGAAATGAAAGTGCGGGATTAGCTAACTCTCTCTCTCTCTCTCTCTCTCACCATCGATTCACAGCAGAATAAATAGGGTCAGGAGACGACTCAACTTCAAATTAACATCGATTGGGAGTAACATTAATATATAACGTAACGTCAGACCCGAAAACATTTTGCTATATATATGTTTATTCTTTAACTATTGTCATAGAAACCTTGACCCGCTAGCAGACGGTAGTTTTGCTACGTCATTCATTGATTCACGAGCACGTGCGATACTCTAAGAAAAGAAAGAAAAGGGGGATGAAAATAAAAAAAAGAAAATAAACGATCCTCTTGGTTACTATGGTAACGAATTTCGATTTAAGATAAAAGTAGTTGAAAATTTTTAGATTAGCGAAAGCTATTTTACTTGGTTTAATTAACGTGTAATTAAAGTTACTCGACTGGCAATTATTGATTTTCTTGCAAAAGTTCATCATCATTTACGTTTGAAAATTTATAATAATGGCGTAGCGAATAAAAGTCTAATATATATACATTTTTTTTCCTCTTTCTTTATTATTCTAACATTGATTTTAATTTGCTTGTTAGAAATATTTCTGTAATTAACTTCAAATTAATTATTTAAAAAATATATTTATAGCTTTCTATATATATTTAAAGCGCGCAAAAGTAAATACAAAAATATAATTAATGAATTAAATTTGACAAATACTTAAAAAAAAAGGGGGGAGGGTGCGATTTTAAACGAAAATATTGAAAAATTTGTTAACGAAATTTATCATTTAATCAAATTAAAGAAAACAATTATCAACGAGGAAATGAATCGTGGCCGATAATCGATTAATTCTCATCGGAGAATTCGGAGTAAACAAATTTAAATAGCTTTTTTTTCGACGAAAATATTCTATTTGTTCGTTATTATTTAATTTAAAATATTTAAATGAATTTTAGAAAAATCTTAAATTATATAATTTTTCAAGATTTATGATTGAAATACGTANTTTGTCAATATGGTTGAAATAAAATAAAGTATTGATATTTTTATATTTATGAATATATTAAAATTAGTTACACAATATATTGTAAAAAGAAAAACTTTTTAAAATTAATTTTTTAATTAAAAAATATATTTACATATTGATTTATATATTAAGTTGTTTTTCATAATTATAATATATTTTGAGAAATTTAAGAATGTTTTTACATCATGAAATAAAAATAATAATGAATTTGTAATCAATTTCTCTTATTTAATTAAATCCTAACATTTATTACAATTTAAATTTATCTTTAATTGTTTTGTATATAACAAAGTATGTTTTACATATATTAATTAATTTAATATATCCAAATAAATTATAATTGAAAACAAAATGATGTTTTTGAAATAAATTTCTATGTATGTATATATATATATACTAAATATTAATTTATTTATCTTAAAATTAATATTTATTAATAAAAAGAAAATTTTCATTTAACACCTTAATAACAAATTGAAAATATTGATAGCTATTGTAAATAGTAAAAGAGAAATATGTTTTTCCATTTTTACCCACCAGGGTTCGCGATTATACAAGATTTAAAGATGGCGACTTCCTTTATGACGAAGGTTGAACGTGAATGACGGATTGACGTCTGTCAGAAGGAAATAAAGAAAAGAAAATGGACGAAAAGACTCAAAGTCTTGCAGAAATTGCATCCGTGAATATATGCTGTATGAGGAATATTCTTTTATGGGAAGGTAATGTATAATTAATTAGATAAAGGCTAAAGTTAATGAATTCGGTTAATTAATAGATAACAATGATCAATATAATTTATTTGCGGATATTATATAGAATTCCCATATGTTACATATTATTTGGATGACTACTTTTAACATATATTCAGTTTTTTTCGTTCTATTTACATTTTTCCTTTGCTTCATTTCCTCGTTCAATGTCCGAACAGGCGTTGACTTCTATATCTGATTGTTTTACGGATTTTGTCAAAGAAAATGAACATTTTCTTTAATATAATATATAATTTATGNTATAAAAATAATAATTTTCTAAATAATTATATATTTATTTTACAGTTTCGTGCACATGCTACTGTCCATTACCCTCTGTTGTGTGAAATGATATGCCTTGAAATGAAACCGGAACTAAGAGCTGTTTTGAGGCGATTTTTTCTTCGAGTCGGCACGTCTTTTAACATTGTCCTTTCTAGCAGTAAATAAACAAATGTCATTTGGAAATATTGAATCAAATTTGCATAGTTTATTGTAAGATATTCAACTTAAACTTAACTTGTAAATTTACCATTGAACAAAAAAATTGGTCCACCTAAGATAGTTTTTATCATTAATTTATGATGCAGAAGAAAAGTGAAAACTGTAGATATTGTACTGTAGAGTAATTTTTAAAAGTAGATTTGTGCATTGGAAACAATTTAATAATTTTATGAAAATAAAGAAAAGCACTTTCTCAAAATAAAGTTGTAAGGCTGCATATAATTTGTATATAATGTGATATATAATAGCAGCCATTTAAATCTAAAGAAATGCAATACAAAAGCATTTCTTTAAAATTCTTCTTTCGCAAAGAACAATTAGTCAAAATGAAAAAAAGTGAAAGCATTAAAAGGGATGTTATGGCCAAAATATAGTTAATGATGAAATCAGCAATATTTTTATTTTTTCAAATGTGCAAATATGTACTTTCATCAGCAAACAGTTAGGGTGTAAGTGCAATGATGATTTACTTGTTCAATATGGACATTTATTGTCATAATATCTCATTTCATACTTCACACATTCCATGATATAAGAATTCAAGTTGCGTTTCAAGAAATTGGTACAAGAAGGAATTTTCTTTATATATATACAGTATATATATTTTTTCTTTTGTTCTGAATTTTAAAATAGTAGTTTCGTGTTTTATGTTGAAATTTATATTTAATTGTAATTTACATATGGTGAAAAAAAGCAATCATTTTGAAGATTAAAAAAATTTTTTTTCTTGTTTAAATAGGAAATGAAGCAAATGGAAAATGCTGTTTATTGAAATATTTTTATTTTAAATCAATATAATAATGATAAACAATTATTATTAGACTTTTGTCTATTATAATAATAATAATAAGTATTGAAAATAAAATTATCTAATGACTAATATGAAATAGCTTATTATTGATAAATATGAGTGTTTATTCTACTTAAAGAATTATTATTATTAAGTTAAATGCTTATTTTGTTTAGAAGAAAATTTAAAATATTTCTCTGAAGTCATAATAATTTGTTTTAATGGTTCAAAAAAAAAAAAATGAAATTCAATTATAATATATAATATTTTGACATTAAAAACTTTGTTGCATCAAATTAAAATGATTATCATAAATTATAATTTATGGTAATATATAATAAAGCAATTTAATTTAATTCTACTGTAAACATTAAAATATAATTGTATAAACTATTATATGAAATTCCACTAACAAACATATATTGCATAAATAATGTTTTATAATTTATTGTAATGTAATTGTAATATAAAATAATTTATAATCAAATTACAAAGTTTTGTTTACGAAATTTATATTTTCAGTTATATTTTATATTTTCTATAGTAGTATATTTTGAAAGCTAATAAATGATATAAAATTAATTAGATTCAACATATTTTTATTAATGTAAAAGCATTTTTTTTAAATAGAAAGTCAACAAAAAGTTTGTTCATTTAATTTTCAGTACAAAGTTTTCATTTCTATATAATAATTTTATTTACTTTAATAAAAAGATAGTTATATAATTAATAAATAATGTAAATATGTTCTAAACTTAAATAACAGAATAAGTAAATGTAGAAAAATTAAAACAGCTGTTATTTTTTAAAATATGGTATTGTATTGCTTATTGAATATTTGGATCCCACTCAGATATATTGTTTTCTTGATATTCTGGAAGTATGTAACTATTAAAATTACTAATATATCTTTATTACTATCTTTTAATAATCTAATAATAAACTATTTTTTAGTTTTTAAATTTATTAACTGATTCTAGTCAAATTATTAACTAATTTTGTTAGATTAGCTAATAATTTCAGCAGCTTGTATTTAAATGATATACGACTAGTCTTTATACGTGTATTAACTATACATCTTTATTTGAATTATAAAATTGATTTATTTAAATATAATTTTAAGAAAAACTTTGATCACACACAAATTTCTTCACTGTTACTACTGTAAAAAATTTGAGAAGGAAAAAATTTTATATATTATGTATATATTATATAGAAATAAATGATGAAAATTTCTCAATAAGAAAATAATAATGAAGAATTTCATATCTGAATGTAATTCAAAAATAATTTTCATTGTGAAATAAAACTGATTTTATCTATTACATACATAAGAAAGTAAGAAAAACAATCTTATCTTTTATAGTTTTTATAATTTGTTTTCTATAAGTTGTAAATATATTATAGAAATTTATCTTTACCAGGAAAGTTTGTGTAATATATAATTTTTGTTGGGTTACAATTTGAAAAAATTGTAGACCTATAAATTCACACTGTCATTAGTTTGTCTGTCAGTCTTTTTTTAATCTTGAGAATGGAATTAAATAGATGAAATCTGAGACCATATATGGAAACCTTAGGGGAAGGAGGCCTCGATTAACTATATATTATTTTAATTAAGAACTTTTTCCTAAAAGTAGTTAATAGATGATTGGCATGACTCTATTGTTAAAGGAAAAGTATGATGTACAGGGGCAAGCCACTATTAATAATTTGAGATGGAGAGCTTATATTTTAAATTAAATAAATTAAAAATTGCATTGTGACAATGTCATAATAAATGATTGCTTGTTTTTTAAATAAAAAAATTATTTAAAAGCATTAATTTGTCTTAGGATTTTACTTTTTCAGGTTGTCTTTTCAGTCCAATTATTGAAAAGAGAAACTGAAAAGAATTAGAAAATGCAAAAAAAGTGATATTCAAGCTTTTTATTAAAGGAATAAAACTCCTGTTATTTAATTTAATAAAATTCAAACAGCTATTAAAATTTTGAATCAAACAGTAGTTTATTTCAATTATTTAAATGCAAAAATTAATAGATAAATAGGTCTATATAATTAAATTATCTTTTAGAGTATTTACTATATAATTATTATTAATACACAAATAGAAAAAAGTTTCTAAATAAAGTAAATATTAACATTACTATCCCAAAAAAATATTTTGATAGCTTAATATTTAGAAAATGAAAAAGTTTGTGACTAGAATAAATGTAGATTAAAAATAAATTATCAAATTCAAATATAATCTATTCTAGTTTCGTGTCACTGTTAAACGATTTCAGATGATAATTAACTTGTCTTTTTATTTTAAAAGTATTAATCACACTAGAAAAATACAGGTAACCCTCGTATAACACGGTAGTTACGTTCCAAAAAATTGCCATGTTATGCGAATCCGTGTTATACGAAACAAAGAACTAATACGAAAAGGAGGGTTAGGTTCCAAAAATTAAAAAACATGCTAGTATATTTTCATAATTAAGATAAATATCTTCATTAAAATTTTTTAAGTGATACATATTAATATAAATTAAACAATGTTTTCTTCGTCATCACTAAAAACACTATTAATTAACCGAGAGCGTTTTCTTTTTGGCAAGTTATCCTTATCCTCTGAGCATTTTTCTGCATTATCTTCAGATCCATGCTTTACCTTTTGCAAAATGTATGTAATTTTAGATTGCTTGCTTCTAGTTAAAAGGTCTTTATAAATTTCCTTATATGGTGCTAAGCACTTATGAAGAATAAAGCAAGTATGGAATAAGGGAAAAACATTCGGCAACATCAGAAGCAGAAGCGTCGCGATCTGGCAACATTGAAACAAGTTTCGAGAAGGACCACGTGTATCGACAGAAGGCGAGAAGAGAAAATTTACATACTTAAGTACTAATAGTTCACGAAAATTATTTTCGTGAACTATTATTACTTAAGTATGTAAAAATTTATTACATTTTCTGTTGTACGAGGGTTTTACACAATTCTCGAACCGTGTCAGAGTGAATCCGTGCTATAAAAGTACCGTGTTATACGGGGGATGGTACCAATTCTCGAACTGTGTTAGAGCGAATCCGTGCTATAGAAGTGCCGTGTTATATGGGGGTTACCCGTAATTAAATTGTAAATAATTAATCATTTTATCAACTTTCAATAAGTTGCTGTTCTTTGAAACTTAGAAAAAATTATGTTTCTCTAATATTCATAACTTATCATGTTGTACTTTTACTACTTCTGTTATTATATGAAACAATTGATTTTAATTTTTTGAAGTTTGATGATGATGATTATAAACATTTTATATATAGTACAAAAATTTAAAAAAAAATGAAAAAAAAACTTGTTTTTGCATTTCATTTTATTTTATATTTTTTATATAGTAGGATTATATAGAAAAACTTTGTCACAATATAGGAGCCATATACCTCTGTGATCAAAAAGTATCAGGAATGATTCAATGAAATGTAACATTTGAATTTATTCATCAAAATTTATTTCATTTCCTTCAAAGTAATTCTCTCCCAATAAATACACTTACCTCATCATTTTTCAATTTTCAAAACATGCTTTAATTATAGTTGTTTTTATAAAACATCTTCAGGACTCTCAGTGAATTTTGTTTCATGGCATCAATTGACTCGAAACAGAGATCACAAAGTCAAAATTTTAGTTGAGTAAG